GCGTCCCAAAATAAACGAGATCGCAAGCGAAAATTTGAAAGAGCTAACGATACAAATCGGATACTTTTGTGTCCAGTGCGTTCCCATTTGGCTGGATCACATGAACAAATTGACATGGAACCGGGATTTCGATCCATTCATCTTTCTTATCTTCAGACTCAGGAACATGAAGGTTGATTTCAGCATTTTGTGAACTTGTTATTTGAATGCCTTTGCTTTCAAGAGATACATAAATCTAGAGTGAGAGAACATCACAATGGTGGATTTGGAACAACAACTTACATGTATTCCTTGGCAATTATCAATTGTAATCGATGCTGCGTGGCCAAGAACTTGAATTTGACATTTCTTGCAGCGAATCAATTCAATCGCAGAGATCACGGAATCAACAATAATGTTAACGCCCACGCAGTTTTCTGACGGCAAGAAAAAACAATCAGAAAATCGAACAGGGACCTACCAACAGTCAGATTATTGATTTTTTTCGATACTTGTAGAGCTGCGTTTGTGTTGTCTCTCACAAAAACATTTTGATTCATTTCGTCTCTTCGATTTTCAACGGAGCTCCACGGGTTGTATGGTACTCCATAATCCAGTCCCGCCCATTTGGCTCTAACTGAAGGCGTGGCTTTTTTTCTCCTGCTTTCGAAACCTCAGCCATTTTTGGTCCTTTCAGCGATGAGGACACCACTACGATCGTGAAGTGCCACAATTTGATTGCCGCCACCCACTCACCTTTTGCGTTCTTCTCTGTATTGGACGGACCCACTAATTTTTTGAAAAAACCAACTGCGCCCGAACGAAAGCTACTGGCGATTCTCGGAGAGAAAAAGCTTCCTTGACGTGCCGCACTATCTAAGAAACAAAGACAAGTAGCGCAGCGAAAATTGGGTAGTATTTACTATATATGTAAACAACAATAAATTCTACAGGCACGCAGGGAAAATTAATCTGTATACTCCCCGTACGTGTTGGGTCTTCCTTGCCGGTAGAATCACCAAGGGGAAGCTTCTCGGACGATTTGCTTCCGCCATGATCTGTATGGGGCTGTGGGGAGTCCTGCGACATCTTCAGAACACAGCAGGAGCGCGTTGAATAACTTGAAGTTTTGTTTTTTGACGGAACCAGGAACGATCAGGTCACGCTCTCATGGGACTAAAATGCTTGAGATTGAGAATGCAGTCCCCCTTGCTTTGACAAAATTCGGCAAGATCAAAGTTTATTTTCAGCCGATGGATGTGCATCAGTTGAATTGCAGAAGGCCATAAAAATCAAGAAAGGCAGTTCAACTGTTTAAGATGTATGACGACATTGCAGCTCAGAGCCGCGAGCTCGATAAAACCCTTGATGATTTCCGGGAGACTTTGCGGCATATTAACAATTTCAACGCAGAAGACCGTCGGCAGAGGATTTATAGATGTGGGCAACTGGAGCAGCAAGCTAAGACGCTTAGGTCGGCGATCTTGCTTGAAATCAAAGCAATGGACGATGAGGAAGTCAAGAACAAGTACAAGACGCAATTGAAGGAGAAAAATAGAACGTTCAAGAATTTGTGCAGTCAACTCGAGATGAAAAAAAACGAGATTGATCGAGATTTGCTAGAAGCAGGTGAGTCGCGCGTTCAGCTTAATGACTGGCATTTTTTTCCACAGAGGCAAATGAAATGGATGAAGCGCAGCAAACAGAAATGACCACGCAACAAGTCATCGCAGCAGGCGACAAGATTCAAGATCAAACTCAGGATTCTGTGAATCGGATGAAAGCCCTTGTGAGTATCAATCACTTGGATGTTCTTGATTGGGTCTCATTTAGGTGGCAGATGCGGAGGCAGTTGGGATTGAGACAGCCGGCAAAATGGATGCTCAGATTGTTCAAATGGGAGGAATAGCTGAGGGGTTGAATGATGTTGAATATAACGTTAAGCGAGCTCAAACAACCGCAAGAACGATCGCTAAAAATGCGATGGGAGATCGATGCATCCAGATACTCTGTTTAGCAATTGTTATTTGCGTCGTCATCATTATCGTTCTGGCGGCAACGAAGTAATCCTCGTTAAGTTTCCAGCAGCTATTTTTCTGTATGCCAGTTCATCGATTTTGGGACTTTCTTCATGCAATACTGAACCTGCTCGAGAGAGCAAACCACTCTATCCCCTTGTTTCACAATGTCAGCCGCAATGAAGGAAGCGTTCTGTCTTTTTGACAGAGATGCAGATGGTTTGATTCACGCAAGGGATATTCCCACAGTAATTCGTTCTCTTGGTGTCCACGTGTCTGATACGGATCTCAATTCGATGCTCAATGGGAAGGAAGAAATGATGTTTTCATATGATGCCTTCGTTCAGCTTGCAGGAGGCAGATGTTCCTCTACAGATCAAGTAGCTGAACTAACCAAAGCGCTCAAAACTTTTGATCGCGATAATAATGGAACAATTTCAGCAGGTGAACTCAAACACGTTCTTTTGAATCTTGGCGAGAAGCTCAACGAGGCAGATGTGGAAGAATTATTGAGGGCAGCAGATCCTCAAAACACTGGAAACATCCGCTATGGAGAGTTTGCTGTGCTTCTGTCTGGCAAGTCAAACTAGATTTTCTGTATTTTTTTGGATACCTGTCACGCGTCCTGATCGAATGACGAAACAAACGCGTAAGAGAAAGCACACCGCGAAGAAGCAGTACAGAAAGCAAAATCGGAATCTCCGTACTCGTACAAAAGACATTGATCAAGGTAATGGACTTTGTTTGTCTCTTGGAATTCCATTTTGTTGCCAGTTCATGATGACATTATGGCTAACCGTCGCCCCGCCCCTGATGAAGATCTTCCTGGGGGAGGTAAAGTGAATCATTTCGAAGAAACACTGTTGATACGATCTGCAGGGGAGTTTTATTGTGTGGCCTGTGCTCGTCACTTCATAAACGATGAAGCATTGAAAGAGCACTGTGGTACAAAAAAGCATAAGCAGCGATTGAAGCAGGCGCTGGAAAAACCCTACACTACGGTACGTTGAAAAAAGGGCGTCTGAGTTCTCAATCTGACTTCAGAGGGATTCCGAACTTGCGGCCGAAATGTCCCACGAATAACATTTCAAGGATCTCCTCTTGACCGTTTTCTGAATTTGAACCCTCCACGTGCTCTCTTTCTGTTCGTTTCCGCTGGCCAGTGCTGCCGTTTGTCCTCGTACAACACTAATTCTATGGAGAACAATTAATGATTCCTAGTCGAATCCGATTGTTACCTTTTTGTAGCACATCAGTTGTGTTTGGATTTGCTTCACATAACGCTCGTCCAATCGCCAATTTCATCGCACTTGATTGTGCTGCTTGACCGCCACCACTCACCGAAGCATAAACATCGAAAATTCCGCAGGTATTCGTCAGATGAAAAGGTTTCAAAATATCGAATCTAATGTTGAAGACTTTTCTGTCAATTCCAAAGATTCAATTTTACCTGTAATAGTGATGCCTGAATCGCTCGACGTAGTACGGTCTCGATAGCATTATGACTTTCCCAGTTCCTCGTCTGAGAGTCGCAAATGCAGTTGCCGTTCGATTCGTTCCTTTCCCCTTCGATTCGCACTGAAATTCTTCTCCGTTGTACCAAAACGTCTGAAACAAATCGCACTTTTCTCAAAAATGGAAACACACTCACCTCCTTCCTCGCAAGGAACTTGTCGATCGCTGTCGCTTGCTTCAAATTCGCTTCTGTAGTACCAAGTGACTTGGCGAGACGAGCGCCTCGCAGTTTTGCAATTCGACTGTCCCTTTCGCTCTTCACTACTGGATGAAGCTTCTTCCCTTTCACCAGAGGTTTGCTAGCTCCTTCTGGCAGCGGTGGAAGCTCATTTGAATGCTTTGTCTCAACTGCTGAGAAGACATTTTCAAGGGGGAAGGGCGATTTGTCCTGAGTGTCCAGAAGCACAATAACGGGTCCAAGAAGCTTCAGTGCTTACTGGAGAGAAGGGCGGGGATGTCATGATCTGTTTCTGAATCTCTTTTCGTGTTCCGATTCCGGCCTCTTGTGCGACATAGAGCGCCTATGAAGTGGAAGCAGTCGCGCCAACAGCAGAAGCCGTCCCACCTCATCCAGACTGAGTATTGGCTTTCTTTTTATTTCTCGTTTCGGGGAGTCATAGTTTTTTGATGATCTCCTCCGTATCGGAGAATTTGAAGCAGTAGAGTTGGAACGATGTGCCGCTTGGAGTTTGAAGGCACCAACTAAGATATGTCTGAGGGGCTTCAACATGAACTACAGCTTTGTGACAAGAAAACAGAGAAAAATACAATGGGAAATAATTAGAAGAAATGTTCGTGTTGTGACGAGAATTGGAAACGCATCTTCTGCCTCATAAGAGCGAGGCCCCTTCCGAGTGTTTCTTCTATTTTGGGAGTCAAATTTGGATATTCCTTCAGAAGCTGATCATATTCCTTGCTGGCAGCATCAGCATGCTCCTTAAGGTTTTCCACCTCGTCTGATGCATTGAACCCTGAAAAGAAAAGAGTAATAAAAGTCAGGGAAATGAATGACTTACCAGTTCCTGCAATTCCGGCATGACGACTTGAATGCTCCATCACCTCACTGATATCATCCCTCACGTCGGTAGCACGAATCAAGCAATCCATCATCTTTTGTACTTCACTGAAAGAACAACAGTGAGAGAAGGCTTTGCGATCAAGGAACCGTACTTTAACTTTCCTTGAACATCTTTATCGTTTTGAGCTTCGTGCTCCAATCTCTCAAGTTCAGATTCCCAAAAACTCAAATTCTGCAAAAATTAAAAATCCTAAATAATCGCTGGTGAGTTACAAACCAGAACAAGCGTCATGTAATCCGCCCAGTTTGACGCGAGAAGCGTTGTGGAAAGTCGATCCGCTCTGATGAGTGTCTCTTCCCTATTTGTTGAAAGTGGGGTCCAGAAAAGCGTTCGTGATACGATGGGGCGGAAGAACGAATTCTGGGATTTGACGAGCGAGGACGCAGATCGGAGTATATTCCAAGCTCGGGTTGCCATGCTATCGCCTTGTCCAACAATCAGGTCAACTGCTAGATGCAGGCACCCCAAAGAAGGGGCTCAATTTTTTTGCAAAAAATATAAAACGCGGTCTCCGGAAAATCGGTCATTTTTATCGTTCCAACAGAAAGAAGCCATCCATTCTAGTCGACGATGCAAGACAGAATCGGAGACTTGAGAGAAGTGGCTTACCAGCTCAACCCTGGGGGAGCCTCTCAATTAAGGCAGGGTCCCTCAGTTGCTTTAGACTCCATGTTTCTTCGCGGGGAGATTTTTGACATTGAAGACCATATGGGCATTCGAAGAGGCGAAGAGGTAAACTTCAATGGGTGCTATTGTGTCAATGAATTTTCCATCCCAGACTAAGGATCCGTTCATGGCTGAGTTTTTTAAAAAACTTGATGTCTTGAAAAGCGGAATTGCGGATGTTAGAACGACGATGGATAAAATAAAGATGTTGAAGCAAGAAGCAACGCAGGCCACAGCACCTGAGGAAGAGAAACGTGAGGAGAAATAGATTGAGGGGGTTCGGACTCTTATGGTTGTAGGGGTCAGTGACGAATTGAACAAGCTGATTGATCAGTCAAACAAGGCCGTACTAAAGCTTAAGAAGGGATTGGAGACACTGAAAGAGGAAAATGCCACTTTTGCTGCAAAGAATCCAAACAGCTCTGAAGCAAGAATCCGCGAAAACCTTCATGCAGCAGTAACGCGAAAATTTAGAGAAATTTTAAAGGAATATCAAGCTGTCCAGACTGACTTCAAGAAAGACGTTCGAGAAAAAGTCACTCGTCAAGTTAAAATAGGTGCGTGCAACACTCCCGGAAATGTTTGGCGAAACCAATTGTTCTTTAGTTTTCCCGGAGGCGAATGACGACGAAGTTGGTAGGATGGTGGCTGATGGGGACGCGGCAACAGCTCAGGCAATTCGGCTGCGTATGACTGGCGTAAGACGAATATTTTCGATCCGGAACATTAAAATTTTTGTAGCAAACGCATGAGAGTTTACAAAATGCGCTTTCTGATCTTCAAGATAAATACAGAGATATCAGAAGATTGGAACAAAGTGAGAGCAACTGTTGGGTAGAAGTTTCAATGGTGTCTGATCAGGTGTTACCGAACTGCATCAAATGTTTGTTGATTTGGCCACGCTTGTTGACGCTCAAAGCGAGCTTCTAGATCAAATTGAGTTCAGTGTGAACTCAGCAAAAGACTATACTGAACGAGCCGAGAAAGAGTTGATCAGTACGAGAAAGCATCAAAAAGCAGCAAAAAAGGTGAAACTCTCGAGTATGATGGATATTTCATTTTGTTTGCTTCTAGAGAATGGCTTGTTTGAGCATCTGCATCGTTGTCTTGGCGGTTATTATTGCAGTTCCTGTAATAGTCATGTTGAGCAGATGACATATTCAACGAAATTCCTTTTATTTTCTTATTCTGTTGGTCATGCCAACCGTAACTTATTCAAACAGCTTTCTTTCCCACTGATGCATCGTTTTAACGCTACCATGTTGGCCCCTTTGAGAGTCTCAGTTCCTTGTGTTTGTTGTCGGAGAGGTGAGTTACCTCTCTTGTCTGTCAGCGGAGATGTGAGGCAACAGCCCATTCGGTATTGCAAATCGTCCCGTTCGTCTCAGAAGATACAGGATTCTCCTCGTATGGATCGATCAGCAGTGGAAGTAACTTTGATTCTTAACGATGGAGTGCGAGTCGTTTGTGACCAATGCCGTGACGTTATTAGTCCGGGTTATGGTTGAGCGCGCCTGATCATGTGCGGAAAGCCTTAATGGCGCCCTAAGCTTTCGTTTGATTAAAGGATTAAACTGAAGGTCAAGATTGCCAATCCCTTGAATTTGTTTTGTACTTTTATTGGTTTTCGGAAAACTGTTTGATTAGCTGTTGACCATCTGAAAGGCGACAAGCAGGAATCGCTGAGAGTGCAAAATGCGTCGCTTCGAGGGACAACTTGCTGTGATAACGGCATCTACTGCTGGTATAGGCCTTTCTATTGCTGAGAGATTTGCATCGGAAGGGGCTCTTGTAGTAATCAGTTCAAGGAAACAAAAAAATGTTGATGAAGCTTTAGAGAAATTGAAAGGAACAGGGAAAGTGAAGGGGATTGTTTGCGCTGTCAACAACAAAGAGCATCGACAGCAATTGTTTCACTTTGCAACTACTGTTGCATTTCCTGAATTAGAATTTCGAAAAATTGATGTCTTGGTCAGCAATGCAGCATGTTCACCATACTTCGGAGAAACCCTGCAAACGCCTGAACGTGCGTTTGACAAGTTGTTTGAAGTTAACGTGAAAGCAACATTCTTTCTGATTGCTGAAGCGCAAAATTTCTTAACTGATGGAGCCTCAATCCTGATCATTTCTTCCTACTTGGCATTCAATCCAAGCTCACCTATTGGAATTTATGGTGTCACAAAGACGGCCTTGCTCGGTTTAACCAAAGTTCTTGCAAATGAATTGGGCCAACGGAAAATAAGAGTGAGATGAGATCTGCAGAGCTCGCCAACGCAAATTTCTTCAGGTCAATGCTGTTGCGCCCGGCGTTGTGAAGACAGAGTTTAGGTAAGAGCTTTACGCTTACCATTCCGTGATCCTGTTGCTTCAGCCGTGCAATATGGGAAACCGGGGCTGAACCCGCAGGCATCCTTTCGCAACCATTGGAACGCTTCGCTGAATCCTCTGAGATTGCAAGCGTTGCTGCATTTCTGGCTTCCAGCGATAGTAGCTATGTGTCAGGCGAATGTATCACCGTAGCTGGTGGCGCCCCTTCCCGTCTATGATCTGTGTATGTGAAAATGAAAGCATCACGTCCTGTAAAGTTCCTACTCTGGAGATGAATTGCTTAAGGAGATTGTTTAACATTGAATGGTCTTCACTGAACAACGAATCAGAAAAATTGGGTGCAAAAGTTCTGATGTGTGGTTTTGAGTGCCAACACGCATAAAACGCTCTAGAGAGTCCGACGAAATAATTTCTCGAGATTCTTCCGATTGAAACCCTTTTGGATTGACAGGTTCATATTCTCAGCTTTACTGGGTTTGCTTGGTTCAGATTCCTTCAAGCAAACCTCAAACTGATTTAATTCATCACGGCGATGGCTTAGAGCAATCCACCTCCTCAGAATTCTGTACAGTCTCTTCAAATCGTTACTCAACCACGACTCGGTTTTGTGGTTCGCAATAAAGAGTTCTTCTGAAGCTTCAAGCTTTCCAGAAGTTGCAACCTCGGAGAATATCTTGAAGGCTGCAGCCCGAGAGAAGTTCAAGTTGGCCATACCTTCTTCCATGTGAACTAACTCCCTCTCCAGCAGCCTTCGAATCTTCTGGAGATCTTCAAGGGTTGTTGGCTGCCGCAAACGAATTGGTGTTTTAGGAAGCTCAAAATCGGTCAAGATGCCAGAAGCCAGCTTCAAATTGCTGAAACGCACCAGAAATGCAACAGTGTAGAATTTGATTTTCCTCACTTTTTATAAGCGTATTTCGCAACATGCTTTGCATAGCGGACATAGTCACCTCGGATGTCGAAGAGTTTTCGAAAATTGATTCGATTTCTTCTGTTGCTCGGGCAGTCGCGGTCCTGAGTGGAATTCAATCCCTTTTCGAGGCATTTATACGCAGATGGGTGAACCAGTTTTTCGTACACGTTTTGGGTGCTTCCTCTTGAGTAGACTGCATGGAAGAGTAATGGCATGACGGTTCACTGGTCTTGTCCTCGGAACATTAATTTTGACACCATAATCAACGATTCGCCCCGTAGCCCAGAAACACCCATGGTCTAGATAGCGTTCACCAAGTGCTATTTTTTAGATGCAAGAAACTTTGCTAAAAATGAAGCACCAATCCTCTTAAAACACAAGAACTCAAAACAGCAATACTGGCGAGCTTTGCCGCCGACCCTTTTTTTCCCTTTGCCTTCGTTTTTGGCTTAGTTGTCGTTTCAACTTCGTCCTCTTCAGTTTCCTTTTTAGGTTTTTTTTTTTGCTTTCTTCTCTTGTTTCCTCTTTTGTTTCCTCTTCTTCGCTGGTCATGTCGCCTGGTTTACCTAAAGAGTCGATTGAAACCACAGAGGACGCCAAAATTCGCTTACATACAAACCCCTGGCCACGGTCACAACGTCCTAATGATGGAACGAAATCCGTGGTTGGCGCGCATTGATCTATCTTTTTTTGCGAGCAGTCGTAGTACATTCTGCAGTTTTTCGGATAGACGTAATAACCATCTCCCCGGGGGGGTTGACAGAACTCCTCAGCGGTAAGGGGATCTTTTGCGAAAACTGCAGCGACGAGTAGGAGAAATGAAACTACGTAGCAATTCATTATCAAAAAAAATCAGACTGACGTTTCAAGTCCTGCATGCTGCTCATAATGCAAGATCTTTGAACAATTAACGAGATGGCAGTCGATTTATTCCAAGCTCTGCGACGATCGCGTTCTCCATTGATTTAAATCGCGTCCTCTAGAAATGGCTGTGTGACAGGACAACCTGCTGATGATTGTTAGGAGCCCCCTTGATGAGAATGACGTTGCCAATTCGATGTATGCTCATAGAGATGAGCGTAATTGGAGGAGGCTCGAGACTTGATGAAAAGCCATGCTTACAGTACCTGTCAGAGTTGTGCTCTTTCTTAGAAGGTAGACAGTGCAAAAAATCGGAAGACTCCAGTGAATCAGAGTTTCAGAAATCGAGATCTCTTGAAATTTCGACTATTGGAAAACAAACTTTATGGATCACGCGGAATCTGTGGTTAGAATATTGGATAGGATCCCAAAATACAACAATTAATGAACACGAACTTGAAGCCTTGTGGTCTGTCTTCTCAACAATTGTCATCGTCGAAGGACTTGCCCAACAGATAACTGAAAACACTCCACGACAGCGTATGACCGAATTGTCGTCCTCTGATTTTGAAAATGAACGAATGAACATCGATGGAAACAGCGATACAAGAAATCAGACTGTATTGGATCCCGAACTGATCGCTATGGATTTTCGGCACTTTGGACTTTTGCTATTCCTTCAAGTAAGATCTTTTGACTTGAATTGATCTCTTGATCTGTTTGTTTCAGACACGCAAGGGATCAGGAGCGACTCGCAACCTTCTCTTCCACAAACTTCTCAGATCAAACAGCGAAGTTGTCTATTCGAATCCCGCGGCCGCTGCTGCTGCTTATCAGCACGCGGCTCAAGTGACTGGGTACTACTGACGCTCGATTGGGTTTCTATCGATCATCTTGTTTCAGAGGTTTGGTCTCCCCTCGCGCCAATCCTCGCCAACCATCACTTTGTTCGACTCCTCCAATGACATCCGTTCCGGCTTTGGTTTCCCCAAGGTGCGTCTTCTTGTCCAAATCTATGTGAACCCTTACTCCTTTCACAGAAGCCATTCAATGCCAAATCAAAACCACCCGAATTCAAACTCTGTGACTCAAACTCTTGCTGATGATTTTACTCAGTGGATCGTCTTGAATTTGAATGTGAGTGCTTCTCAGTAGATGGAAATCTGGTCGTAGCTACCCACTTGTCGGCCGGAACAGTCGAAATATCCAAATGCGTCTTACGCCCACCATTTCTGTTTCAGACGCTCCTACGAATTGTCCATCTGAACTTTTCAACTGATCTTAAGATTATAGATGTCACGTGTATGGAAGCCTTGGGAATCTTCTTTGATCTGTAAGAGAGTGCTGACTGAATTTTCAGTCCGTCCCCCGCTTGCAGTCCAAAAGGCGCTCGGGTCTCAAATTGCATTCATTTTTCATCGAAATCTGATACTTCTATTCCATCAATCGAGGTCTGTCCCAACCGTCGTTCCCCTACCATCAAAACTCGTTCAGAAAAAACTCGCCAAGGCTCTGACTGTCGATCCCTCAAAATATCCGGTCTTTTGTCGCCCTCTATCTGCTCCAACGACCACTGGACTCCTCACTGGCTCCGCTTCTCCAGTTTCCCCTGTATGTTGAACCAACCTCCACTCTCAGATGGTTTCCGTCAGTCTCGCAGAACGGCGTCTCCCATCGCGAGTTTTGGGACACGGCAGTCTCAAAAGCCCTGTTCAGCCGTCTGCATTGAATCAACGAAAAGGGAAACCATCATCAGAGATAACGATGACATTCTCAGTATCAAGGGAGGACGAAAGAATAGTGGTCATTTATCGAGTGTGCTGCGCGACACTCTCACGGAGAAAAGCCCTGTAGCGGTGTCAAAAGGTAAAGCAAACACTCTTTAGAGAAAAGACGCTTGCTTCAGGCGGATTGATGGAGCTCGAATTGGGACACAGAAGCTCTTCATTACCAACGCGTCACGAAATGAGACAGAAGAGACCATCTGCTGGATTTCTGAGAGGCAGTTCTCAATCATCATCAACAGATCCTTCCAATGCATACGACCTTTATCTTTCAGAACTAACGGAATGCACAGTCTATATATTGAATCCGTAAGTGACGGTGTTGCACTTGAATCTGTTCTTTCTTTTATAGAGTTCGATATGGACGGATCCAATCTTGCAAAGACTGCACTTTTGTAATTCCAGCTGCATCAGGAATTATTACTGTCACTGGATGTAGTACGATCAGCCTACATGGTGTAGCGAGATGTTTTAAGTGAGAAGTCGCATCAGCAAAAAAACTTCATTAATTTCTCTTCAGAATCGATAATTGTTACGAAACGAGACTGCATGTCTTTTCCTTCACCCACCCCGTTCTATCTGGAGACACTCGTGGTCTAACACTAGGCCCATACTCATGTAAGATTCATTCTCTAAACGGATGTTTTTATCGCTCTGCAGGTTTATTCCCTCAACAAAAACGATTGATGTCTCTTATTGGCTTAGAGTAGGACTCGTTGGTAACAATTGGGTGAAGTTGTAGTACAATGATTTCCAACTTCTTTGTTGCTCCAGATTCGATCCAATATTTGTCGGTCGTTGGGCTTCTCCAACTCTCGTAGGACGTCCTTCACGAAATAATACGTACATGGGAAGAGAATCTATCATCGTTTCATCATCAACAGAATCGTTACCTGGAGTCATTGAGGGATCGAGGCGTTCATCAATTAAAGATGACTTTGCTGTTGACAGACGGATTGTAACGTCAACAAGTACGGCGTCATCCAACGGTTGTGGCTCTCTACGCCAATCAATCGGACCTTTAAATGACGATAAATCAGCTGCAGGAGTCTATTCTCTCGTGGCACCAGAATCTTTCAAGGTGGGCTTGCTGCCAAACTCTAATTGTATTTCGACTCTTGCTGCAGACTCTGATCGTCCCAGAGTTGCACAACAGACCTTCTTGTCATCAGCCGGGAATCAATGAAGATCAGCTGGCTCTCTTTCTCCCACAAGTGTATGCAGATGCATTCAGAGATCAACAACGCCGCGTACGTTGTGTCTTCCTATAGTATCGCAATTTGTATCCACAGGCAGTCGAACTGTTGGAATCCATACAGCAAGCAGCAGTCAAGGCTCCAGATTCTTATCATGTCGCAAGAACTCTACAAACACACTTTTCGTAAGATGATTTTTATTTTCCATTCTCGAGTATTCATCAAAAATTTTAGGAATTGGTTGCAACACACTGGACACATCCGTGAGTTAGGAGATTTGGCGAAGGCAGATTTGGTACGCGTCGTGAATCAGATCATCGTTAATTTAAATTCACAGATGATGATGAAAAATAGATCAAAACAGCAAAGTCCCAAATCGAAGGCAAAAACTGGTCGAGTGTGATTTTTCCTTTTTTTCAAAACATTTTCCTGCTATGGTTCTTGGGGTCATCCGAAAGCTTCAAGGCTACAACTATTTAGTCTCCTGTAGCCAGTGCAATTTCGTTGCACCCATTATGGAGCTCGCCAATATCCATGCTAAATTTCATTTTGGTGTCAACAGGACGACTCATAATTTACCAGTAACAATTCGACAACTAATATTGAACCAGCAATTATCAGGAAGAGCGCCAGCGGATTTTGGAGCGACGCTTTCAAACAAATCGAAACTTCCCTGCCCAAAGTGTTCCTCTATTGGAAAATGGGCTGGAGGCAAAATTCTTTCCACGAAGAAAAATCAGTTTCTTTGAACTGATGCTTTAAATCATATTCATATTGGTGTTTTAAATCGACAAAAAAATTTAAATACTCTTTGTTTTCTTTCTCTGAATTCCAAAATTTCTAGCAGCGGTGATGAATGCTTCATAGATTTTGAGTCCTCCTCCTCTGTGTGCTTCATCTCCAAGACGTTCTGGGTGATACTGACCATAGTGATACAGACAGCAGATCCATAAAAATGCAACATACTTGGATTCCGATACAAAACTTCCCAATTTCTGGCTGAAAGTGTGAAGGATCATAGACCCCCTCAACCACTCCATCCAATTCGCTATAAGCCATTGGAAGTAAGTTATCAGCAAGTTGCTTCACACTTTGATGATGATAACTGAGAAAGAGGTGGAAGAGAAACCCGTTATGGAGCCGCTGACCTGTTCACTTCAATAATGTTCCCAGATTGATGCTGAATTTCATCGTTATACCAGAGAGCTAGTGGAGTATTCGGAAGAATTCGCAGCGGGTGCCGATAACCATCGTAGTCGTTGTAAGAGATGTGGGGGATGGCATTCGGAACCTTGTCAAGAAACTGATGTGTTCTCCAATTGGACGATTTTCTTACTTGATGTTGAATATCAAAATAAAGAGTTCCCCCACAAGCAACGTTCAACAGCTGGCATCCGCGACAGATTCCTAGTATCGGGATTTCTTCTTCTCTTGCTAGTTTCAAGAGCTTCCACTCAATTTCGTCTTTGCAATGATCATAACAAACATCTGAAGGATGTTGCTGACGAATTTCTTCAAGAGTCTTCACATCGAACTCTCTGAGGAACAACGTCGAAGTGGGCTTTGTTGTGTGATAAAGATGTGATTCTCCACATACCGACCAATTCCATCGTCAGTCGATCTCGTGCTATTTGGAGTATTCTTTGAGTTGCCAGTGTATGGATGAAACTCTGGACTCAGATCTTCTCCTTCGATAAGCAACAAACCATCCATAGGAAGGTAGAGATGAAGCTGGCTCGCCGTTGATGGCGTTCGTGGGATGATGATCTATAAACAATCATCATGAATGCGAACCTCGAGGATCACGACGCACGGGCAAACCACCGAATCTTTGTATCCACTCAAGGTGATGCTCGCCGACATAATCGATTCGTTTATTTTTCCGAGAATGAGCTCGGCAAACAATCAAAATTCGTGGAGTAGAAGCTGATGGGGGACTTGTTGAAGAAGACATTAGAAGACAGTGGCGAGCTTTCCCTTGAATTTTGTGTGTGCGTTGAGTTCAGCAAAACTACATACACAATTTCAGTGTTCAACTCAAAGAACGACGCGCGTGTTACTTTTTTGTTGAGAGCTCCAATAAAAACAATGTTCGTGTTTCAGCCGAGAAGTGGAGCAGCTGTGCGAAGAGATCAGGACCGAAAAGATTTTGGAATGGATGAAGAAACAACGACCAGAATGAAGAGGTTCAAAGGAAGGCCAAGACGTTTTGAAGACTACACATCACAAGTTGGTCTTGCTAATAATTTAAGATCCCCAGCTGTCGAGGCCGCAAACTCTGGTTGTTTTTCTGATTCGAATAATGAAAGTATCGGAGGAACAATCGATTCAATAAATCGAGAAAATGACAAAATCATCGATACGCATTTGATCGTAGATTCCCCCTGGCTATCACGACCGTCGCCAGTGACTGCCGCGTCGAGGTCCCAAAGTTCTGAAACAATGTTTCGTTTCCGTTCCGGTGTCCCTTCCTCGTCAGACCAGTCCTCCGACGGAACTTCCTCGTATGCGACGAAGGGAACCAGGGGGAAGGGTGTTCTACGTTTCCTCCGACGCGATCTCATTGGTTCATCGGACATTTCTTCGAGCAATACCGCTAATCATTTGACTGCCCTTTCAAACTCAGCAGTTGAAGGAAACGACGAAGCGCTTCGCCTCATCGACTCCAATAAAGCGTTCTTACAATCGAGTCCCCCGCGGTTGGCTTTGGGGAATTCATTCCATGAACCCAGCACTGGACGGAGTCACGCCGCTTCCCTTGGGGATTCAATCGAGTCTGACGAGAAAACAGCAACTCGACGACAGTTTGAATCCTCAACTCCATGCGGACGCAAAGCAAGTCAACGTGGTCGCCTTTCTCAAAGGTCGAACTTGAACCAGTCTTTCAATAAAAGTGTTCACACGGCTGAGGAGCCTAGCAATCCAAGTCTAGTAGATTGTAATTCAGCCTCTATCGACCTCGTTTGTTTCCATGCCAGCAAGTCAGCAGAATCTGGAAATCTTTCAAGCGTGTCTCAAGGTCTACGAATTCCAAATCACGTTATTGTCCAGATGATCCAATCGACGCAAGTGACCCTCAAAACTCAGTTGGTCAAGAAATATCAAGGTCCCTTATTCCATTGGGGGATCCCTTACATACGGAAGAGAACCTTTCGTTGGATTCAAGGCGCAACTTCAATTATGTGTCTATCAGTGAGTTTACTAATGCCGTTCTTTATTGAGATGCTCTTTCATCCCAGCTGGCAGCCGAAGCAGCAAAAGTATCCCTTGCTATGAGTAAATTTGCGGCCCCACTGTCAATCGCCTCAATGCCAGCATCCGTTATTTGTCAGTTCATCGGGTATTTGTCCCTTCGTATCGCTTCCTATTGGATTTTGGTTATCTATACATTAGCCCAAGCCTTTATGGCAATTTTTGATGTGATTTTAATGATAGCTTTCGCTTCCTCTGATGCAAAGAGTCCAACGTCCCATGATCATCCCGTCATCTATCTACTCCTGACTCTCGCTAGCTTCTTTATGATATTGCTCTCGTGTGTGGCTGTCGGGCGAGTCTGTGTTTTAGTCCAAAGGTCAGGGTGTTGAGTGGACGTGCCTTATCAATTTGTGTTTCAGAGACGTCGCAGAATTGAGTATTCGAATTTCTGTTGAACGCTTGCATGAAATGTTCGATCCCAACCCGTTCCTAATTTGGTACTTCAATCTACCTCCTCAAGTGGACAAGAATTCTTCAATTGGCTGACAAGAACTCCTTTTGACGAGAACCTTGCTGGCATTTCTTGTTCAATTTTTCAAGTGTTGATTTTTCGGTGCATTGAGCGGATCCCTTTCCGTGCATTCCACTGTTTGTCGGTATCTCTTAAACTTATGAAACGAGACAATAGAAGCTGTTTGATTTATTTGTAAGGCCAACGACAACAGGACATCAGGTCCCAATGACTGAAGGAAGGTTTATATGTCTATTGATGTAGAACAACTATTTACTAGGTGCCTGGATCTGGGTCATGACTGTCTCTGCTTTCTATCATCAGATGCGTCTCGAGTCGATCAAACAATCTCTTCGTCCTCGATAAAACGTGATTTTCAGTGTTTATTTCGGTCCATCAGGTCGTTCTGTCTTTCAAGATGTGATTCTCACGAGCTATCGAATCAGAAACGGTCTCTTTTCTGGTCCGTTCTTCTTGGAATTCTTCCGTTCGATCCTCACGATGTTTTGTTTTCCGAAGGGAGCTCAGAAATCGATAGAACGCGCGCGATTAAATCTGTCGTCTCGTTATTGGGAACAGTCGAAAGCGACGATCCGCAATCAAATGGAACTGAGCAAGAAAAGGGTGAAAATTGTGTGGCGTCATTAATACTAGCGAAGTCGCTGAAGGAATTGATTGAATCAGCTCAGAGGGATTTAGACAAGGAGGAAAGCGAACAAATCAAGAAAGATGTTCTCCGATCGAGTTCACTTTACCCTCAGATTTCGGGAGCGAGGAAGGAAGAAGTTGTGGCGAAGAATGAAGATACAGCAAATAGATGTGACCAAATATGGAAAGCAGTTCTGCCGGAGCTATTCTCTAGGCCATTGAGCGATTGGGAGGAAAGTGACGCTTTGGAGTGCGTTCTTCAGGTCGTTGTTTTTCGCCATATTCACTCACGTTCATTTGTTTACACACAAGGGTTTCATGAATTTGCGGTCATGATACTCAGGGTTAATGAAGTATTCAAATTTTTGAATCAACTCAAGACAAACAACGCAAATTCATCTCTCCATTTGGAATTACTTCTTCTCTCTATTTATCGATCAATCTTATTTCTTGAGAGGCTTTCACTTCTCCATCCAATTTGCGATTTTTTCTCTTCTCCATTAGAATTATCAATCATGTCGAATCTGAAATTGATTGGTTATTGTTTGTATATTGAAGACCCCTCTCTGTTTTCTCTTTTGACGTTTACCTCTCAATTCGATGCGCTCAGAACTGGAAGGTTGTCCAGTTTTCTCGAGACTCAACGCTGTCTTCCATCACGTGACTCCCCCTTTCATCTTTTACCTCTTCAATTTCTATCTGGTCACGAATTTCAGTTTTCTATTTCCTGGTTGTTGACGTACTTCACGCATGAATTGCTTCCATCAACTGATCCAGAGACAAATGGCTTTCAGATTTGTTGCCGCATTTGGGATTTCCTTCTAGCTGGTCCACCTCAAATGGGAATTTGTTTCTGTGTATCTCTTATACGCCACCCTTTCCTTCGACGCCAACTGGTTGAAGTTGCACTGCGATTTGGCGTCCTTGTGAACGAGAGCGACGCACCCCGTCAAAGGTATCCGCCGTGTGGATCGATCCAAATGGACGAACTAGAAGGGGACCGGATTTTTCTCGGGGTTGAGCTTCGATGTCGAAAAATTTGATTCTGAGGAAGTAGATTTCATGCAGGTCGAAATTTTCAAGGTGATGCAAAATCTATTTCGAGACAATTTTTTGAATGATCTGGATGAAGTGGTTGAAGATTCAATTGAGAGTTCGATGAAACTATTCAAGCAATTGGATTTCGATGATGAAGGAATTTGGGATAGAACGAAGATTTGCTGGAAAGATTGTTTGAAACTGACTTCAAGGAATGATTTGCATTGCGAAGTTCCAATTTATTCATCTTTGAAATTCAGTGATTGGAGGTGGATAAACGAGAAGAACACAATCATAAACCTGTATTTTGAAGACGACGAGGAAAATCGACAGCATAAGAATGGACTTGCGCAATACAAACCGCTTATCTATCAATATTCAAAGCAAGATTATGAGGGGATTCTCCGTCAACGTAGAGAGTGGACGGAACGAGCCAAACACGAACGAAAGACACTTTCTCGCGAATCGCATCGTTCTGATTTTTGGTCACTTCAGCGTCAATTGTTCATCACATTATTATCAAATCGTTTGATTGGACGCTTGATTAATGAATGGTCTTCCATATGCAACCGTTTAATTCTCGCAATTCATGACTTCAGCCCGCTAAAACCTCAACCTTCGTCATTCTCCCGTATCAATGCTATGAAAGTTTATTTATCACAATCTCGGTTTGGGCAAATATTTTCAACCTTTCTACAAAGTGTGGTTCCGCGCTCGACCAATCAGAAACACTCTGTGGAGAATCCAAAGCGACATTTGTTCAGTCGTTTGTCCATCGCTGTCGCTCTTGTCGCTATTGGGACCTTCATCATCGTTTCAAGCTTCCACAAGTGATCAAGAGACAAGACAACATTCTCAACAATTTTGACAAATTACAAAAGTGTCCTTGTGTTGTTTTTACAGGACAGTTGCTAAAGCACGTTGCAATACTAAAGATTACAAAAAATATAAGACAACAAGAAACAAATAGATTAAAAAGGCACACGTCACAGAATGACGGACTGTGTGAAAGAACCAGCTGATTGACAACTCAGGTTTCACGAGTGTGAAAGAACCAGCAGATTGACAAGTCCATGAACCAGTTTCTCGTTAAACCTGTTCATCACGACTATGAGGGATTGTTGATTAATCAAGCCCTCAATAATCCTTGTGACAGCAATTACAGTACCTTCATCCAGAGGATAATTGAATATACCTGTACTGATGGAGGGCATTCCAATGGACCGAATCGTACCACCCTTTTCGTTCACGTTCTTGACCTGGTCAAACACACTGTCATAGGATTGAACCAGGTCTTTGCACTCCTGGATTGTTCGAGTGCTGTTTGACGCGATTTGGGGGCCCAATACGTGGACGATACACTTGTACTTGCAGTCAATCGGAAAAACGACTGCCTCCCCTGGCTTTAGGTTGCCATGGCTCTGGTTGAACTCTTGACCAGCCTCATGGAGCTTAGGAATTCCCTTGTGGAGGGCTCCAGAGATGCCACCCGCTTCAGCGAAGTTCAATTTCGCATTAGCAGTATTCACGATAGCGTCGACATCGAGAGCCATTATGTCCTTGTTCTCCCATTGTATCCGATCTAGAGCCTTCAAGACGTCATTTGCTCTGTCCTTCTTCAGCAATGCTTCCCAATCGCGGACCACATCTTGATCAGCTTTCTTTAGAGCGTCTTGTGCTGCTTGCTGCACTCCATCAGATGGTGTGCCAAATAGCGTTTTGACCGATGGTCCGTCAGGTTGTGTTCCGTCAGATTGGGGTGCAGCTGTTCCGTCAGGTTGGGGTACTGCAGTTCCGTCAGATTGCGGTGCTGCAGTTCCATTAGATGGTGTTCCGTCAGATTGTGTTGCGGCAGTTCCGCCAGATGGTGATTGGGGGTCAACCGATTGGGTAGGGGACTTGCATAAGTCCATCAACAACGCTATTTGGAGCGGCTCCCTGAAAAAAAATGGTAATCAAGGAGACCTATTGCGATGTTCTTACATGTCACTTTTTCGGCGGTATCTTCTCCTTTCGTAGTATTTTCTTGGTTTCTCAGCGTGTCTTCTCTTTTTTACGTTTATCAGCACGTTTTTTCTTTACTCCATCACGTAACGTCGCTTCATTATCCAATAGATTTTTGCGCACAAGGCGCTTTCCTTGTCGTTTGGTCTTTGTTCTGAAAGAAGGCGTCATATCTATTTTTGTAGAATGGGCAACCCACCTGGCAGCGGCCAATTCGATGGAGGGAAGCAGAGAAGACTCTTGCTGAGAACAGTCCTGATCTCCGTTAGGAATTTGAAGCAACCCAATGAAAGGAGAGAGGCCCTTGACCAGTTGTGTACCGGTAGACGTTCTTTCGACTCCCAAGCGGGGAGGCTGGAAAAACCGCGAAGTTCGCATCATACTGTGGAGTGCATGAGGTTTGCCACTTGTACTTTGCGCACCAGGCCGTGTGCGCTTGGCGTGCGCAGAAGTGTGCACTTTTCGTGCGCAGGTGCCTTTGCGCAGCCATGTCTTTTCTGCGCAGCCGGGTCTGAAGTTGGTTTTCACGGATCAGGCATTTTTGTATGTATATTGCACATTCCTGTAACGTTGCGCCAGTCGCATATTATTCAGCTTAATTCGATTTCTTCGGTGGAGTTTCAAAAAACGCCGATATTGGGAAAGGGTTGCGGTCTCTATTCCCTGCAGAATCCTGATTCCACACTGTCACGAAGACGAATGCCTACCTTTCCATAGATAAATTTCATCTCCAGTTGACCGTAACTCGGCAGTTTGTTTTTCAAGTTGAATACCCAAGAAGGGTAGTGATCATCATAACCAATTCTGTGATCAGGAAGATCCTTATAAATATTGAAGAGTTGCTCTGAACCTCCAACTTGAGGGCTAGATGTGGGTGGCTGTTGTCTTTGAAGGTTTGGTTTTCGGAGCCAGCCGAGAAGAGCTTGTCCAGAGTGTTCTGGGAGTAAACCGACACAATGATCTAAGGGCAGAAAGCATCCTGGACCAATCTGGCAACAGATCTGCCGATTTGACGCCAACAATGAGGAAGAAAATTGACAATCGAATTCGCATCCTTGTCGAAAATGCGGTTGCCCAGAGGCACAGGGCGTTTTTTGTGATGGTTGGCGACAGAGGAAAAGACCAGATTGTGAATCTCCATTACATGCTTTCCAAAATAACGACTAGAAAACCATCTGTTCTGTGGTGCTACAAAAAGGACTTAGGTTAGAGAAATTGATCGTGGATTTTGTGTTTGAAGCTTTTCTTTTTTAGGATTCAGTTCGAATCACAAGAAGCGAATGAAACAATTGAAAGCAAAAATTCAGAAGGGAGTTTGGGATCCGAATGTCGACGATCCTTTCGAATTGTTTGTTACTTCGACGCGTATTCGTTACTGCTACTACAAAGAGACCCATTTGATTCTGGGACAGACGTATGGGGTGTGTATCTTGCAAGATTTCGAAGCCATCACTCCCAATATACTGTGCCGCACTATGGAGACTGTCGAAGGTGATTTTTTGCATCTCAGAAAGGCCACAACTCTTTTTTTTAGGTGGCGGTATCGTTTGCATTCTGTTGCGATCCATGGAATCGTTGAAGCAACTTTACAGCCTTACAATGGATTGTCATCCCAGATTATCATCAAAATTTTCTACTGGATCTGCGAATGATATTGAACCCCGATTCAATGAAAGATTTCTTCTCTCCCTCGCCGATTGCGCCCAATGCTTAGTTGTTGATGATGAGCTCAACATTTTGCCAATTAGTCGTCATGCGAAAAAAATCAGTCCAGTCGATCGATCGACCCTCGGCAGCACAACATCGATCAAATCAAAGTCAATTGGGACATCGTTTGTGCTTAGTGAAATTCCTCAGACTCCCGAGCTTTTACAATTGAAAGAAACAATGAAAAGCACAGCGATGGGTCCATTGATTGATTTGGCTGCGACGATTGATCAAGCAAAAACTCTTCTCTCATTTGTTGACGTGATTAGTGAGAAATCTCTGAATTCAACTGTTAGCTTGACTTCAGGACGAGGAAGAGGAAAATCGGCAACGTTGGGTTTATCAATTGCATCAGCACTTGGGTATGGGTACTCGAATATTTTGATAACGGCTCCCTCTCCTGAAAATGTTGGAACTGTTTTTGAATTTATACAAAAGGTAGATCTTCATTGTTCTCTTCCCTCTTCATTACCTCTTTTTCATAATGAAGGGTTTGGTTGCATTGGGTTACAAGGAGCATGCAGATTTCGAGCTTATTGAGGGTGAAGTGGTCCAACCAAGCACACATCAGAAAGAGTCGTCTAGTTCGACTTCTGAGCAAACAACCCAACCGAAGCAGCTCGTCAGAATCAACGTCTTCAAGGACCACAGGCAAACTGTTCAATACATTTCGCCAAATGACGTTGCCTTCGCCCGCCAGGCTGAAATACTCGTCATCGATGAAGCTGCTGCGATTCCTCTTCCTCTGGTGTCTCGCTTATTTGGGCCGTATTGTGTGTTTTTGTCGTCGACTGTCAATGGGTACGAAGGAACTGGACGAGCCCTTTCATTGAAGTTATTGCAGGTAGGAAGGGCAATCATTAACACCCCTAAACATGTCTTCATTTTAGGAGATCAAACAAGGATCAATGGCATCTTCAGGTTCATCACTTAGTGGGAGAGCACTTAGGGAGTTAACGCTTGAGACTCCAATTCGTTACGCGCTCAATGATCCTATTGAGCTGTGGTTGAACAAACTCCTGTGTTTGGATGCGACAACTCCTTCGCCTTTAACAGGAACAACAATTGCCTTACCAAACCAATGTTCTTTGTATACAGTTAACAGAGATTCGCTCTTCTCGTATCATCAAGCATCAGAAGAATTCCTTCAGAGAATGATGTCACTCTTCGTTTCCTCTCATTATAAAAACTCCCCCAATGACCTCATCCTGCTTTCTGACGCCCCTGCGCACCACATCTATGCTTTGCTTCCTCCTGTAGGAGAGGAACAATCTGAACTACCAGATGTTTACGCAGCAATACAGGTAGGGAAGCACGGAAGTCATTCGTTACTGTTGTTCTCCTTTTCAGATTGCCATGGAAGGAGCCATCAGTAAAGAGTCGATTCGAAAAGCGCTTTCCAAAGGAGTTCGACCTGCTGGCGATTTACTTCCATGGACACTATCTCAAAATTTTATTGATGAAGATTTTGGAAGTTTGAATGGGGCGAGAATTGTTCGAATCGCGGTCCACCCTTCGCTGCAAAGGATGGGATACGGCAGCGAAGCTTTGAGGCAGCTGATAAGCCATTTGGAAGGTACAGAAAATCTATCCATATTGGATGAAGAGAGGGGACACAAGGATTGACGGCGCCGAAGAGAATGATGGAAAGAAGGATGATGAATGCAGTAATGCTATTGATGACGATGTTGACGAGAATGATTCTAATGAAGGCAACGATGGGGATGGAAAACGTACCACAACTAAGAACAGAAGTTATCTGTGTTCGCGACGCCCCCCCATTATTGGTGCGCTCAAGTGAAACGAGAATTGGACCCAATGTTGATTATATTGGGACGTCATTTGGATTAACTCTTGATCTATTGAAATTCCACACTCGTTTGGGATTTCAATCTGTTTACTTGAGACAAACACCGAATGACATTACTGGTAAGGGAAAAATAGAAAGATCAATGAAACACGCTCTCTTTGTAGGAGAACATTCAGTTATTATGTTGCGATCAGTGCAATCCCCGAATTCTCTCAATGTCGATAATTGGATTCACGGATTTGTCACTGACTTCCGGAATCGCTTCATCAATTTGTTATCAGCAAGTTTCAGTCATATGCCAATCACTCTATGTCTGTCGTTAATCAATTCGTCTCAACAATTGGATAAACAAAATCAAAATGGAAACTCGTTTGATCTTCCAATGAACTCAAATTCAAATCTTCCTGAAATCTCTCATCGAAATGTACGTTACGGTTTGTACTTCTCGTAGATCATCTCCACCCCTCAGATTGATCAATTTTTCTCATCACATGACTTGTTGAGACTCGAGCGTTATTCGCAGCAATTGGTTGAGCGCTCCTGCATTAACGATCTGCTTCCCACACTCTCGTGGCTCGTTCTTTCGAACAGATTGAGCGGTCTGTCTTTGACCCATTTGCAAACTGCTGTCTTATTGGCGTTAGGTAGCCAAAGAAAAACCGGTGAGCGAGCTTTGTTGCGGCATTTA